TACAAGAAACCACCCATTTACAGATTTCAACTATCCAATACAGTGCTCAGAATTTAGCAATTTTGCCAATTTCACTCAAATTTCAAAAGATGCCAATTTCCAAATAGGGTCCAGAATAAACACATTCCTGGCACTAAAATAACATTTCCTCTGTTCATTAGTCACATCCCCAGGCCCCTCTTACATTCTTTTGCTTTCCACTTTGAATTTTTATTCTCACAAAAAAAATAAGATTTACTGTTATGCAGACCACTGCATTAGTGTAGAAATGGTATAAATAATATCAGCACACTTATGAAAGAATATTACTCACCAGTTGACGTGTATTGGATGCTTAGCATGATTTGTTTACTTTTGAACTTTGGTAAAAATTGAACATTTCTGCTACTTTGAGCTCAATTTCAAGGTACTTTTCATTGTAAAACCAGTCAAAATCATTTCAATTTCTGTATTATGTCTTCCATTCTATAAAATGAGACCAGGAAAACTAGAATACAGCAATAAATACCATACAAAGATAAAGTGCAAACTTGCTGTTTTAATCCAAAGTTTTTTTTTTTTTTTTTTTTTCTCTTTACCACGTGTCTGCGGGGATTTTTTTTATTGCTCACACTGAAAACGTTGCCCCCATTCTTTCATATGTGGCCTACCAGCATTTTTGGGGGGATATGTTGTGTATCTTTTAACTTATACAGGACCCCCGCAAGCGACCCTTAACCCGTGCAAGGGGCTGGCTGTTATGTGAAATGTTCGGTATGCGAATAAAATTTTCCCCTAAAAATAAGGGAAAAATAAAATTAATCCGTGCAGACACCCAAAATATGAAAAAAAATTTTTACCACATGAAAAATACATTTTCCTACACACAAGAAGGATACAGCACAAGGTGAGTGAAAAAGCCAATATATATTGTGCATGTACTACTCTACTAAATAAGAATAAATGACACTTACCTTTTTTTGAAGATGCAGCATGACTGATAACACTGGCCCCGGGGAGTGTTTTTCCTCCTAGACTGTGGGTCCGTTTGGTATTTCTTCCAGAACAGGCCTTTTACCCCTGTTATGTCACTACGATTTTTTAAATCTCTCAAACCAAACCCTTTTTGGTCCCCCCGGCCCCCCCCCCCCCCCCCCGGACCCCACCAAACCGGGGGGGGGGGTTGATCCTGGGAAAAAGATTAAGGACCCCAAAGGAAATAAGTTGAGTTTTGTGAAAGATTTTTTGGGAATTGGGTGCACCTTGGGGGTTTAATTGTTTTTTTGGTATTTTTCAATAAGAAAAAAGGGGGTAAGCAGAAGAGGTAGGGGGTTTAAAAGGGAACAAAGATGTTTCAGCAGCAGCAGACGTGCACAGTAGCAAAATGACGATGACAGCAGCACAGACGATCAACAGCAGCAGCACACTGCGGTGGACAGCAGCAACAGACGAGCACAGCAGCCAGACATGACGCAGCAACGACATGCTACGCAGCAACGCATGTTTTAGAGCAGCGACGAGCTACAGCACAACGACGGGGGTGTACGCACAAAAGACATGCCCCAGCAACAGCGATGTTTCAGCAGCAGCAGACGATGTAAAACAGCAAGACGAGTCAGCAGCAGCAGACATGCTACGCAGCAGAGCAGCAACAAGCACAGCACCGAACAGCGACGTGGTACAGCAGCCAGACATGCACAGCGCAGCAGACGATGCTACCCGCACAGCAGACATGCACAGCAGCAGCAACGATGCTACGCCAGCCCCCCCCCCGATGCTACAGCAGCAGCAACGATGCTACCCGAGCACAGACGATGCTACAGCAGCACGACGATGCTACGCAGCACAGACGATGCTACAGCAGAGCAACATGCTACAGCAGAGCAACGTGTACAGGGAGAGCGACGTGTACAGCAGCAGGCATGACCACCAATTACAGAGGAAATCCAGCAGCGGAGCAGACTTAAACACCTGACTTCACACCAAGTTACCACCTATGCGAGGGGTTGATTGGGGTTTTTTCCCTGGCCATCGGGGAAAAAAAACCCCAAAAACTTTAAAATACAAATTTTTTTTTTTTTTTTTTTTTTTCCGAATTTTTTGGTATTGGGTTTTTTGGGGATGGGTTTTTTTAAAAAAACCGCGGGGAGGGGCCCAGGCTGGGGGAAACAATGCCACCCGGGGGAACAGTGAGCGGGCTCAGGGCCCCACTTTTACGCGTCTCGGCGAAGGGGGCGGCAGGTTTTTTGGGGGGTAGGGGGCAAAATTTTAGCTCAAAGCGTCCGGGATGCGGGGTTGTCCGTTATGCAAGGCGTCCGGGAGGGGGGCCACTTTTACCCTAAACTGTTGTATTTTGATATTTTTTATTTTTTTTTTTTATTAACACTGGCCTATTCCCCCCAAGGCAGGGTGGCCCGAAAAAGAAAAACTTCACTATCATTCACTCCATCACTGTCTTGCCAGAAGGGTGCTTTACACTACAGTTTTTAAACTGCAACATTAACCCCTCCTTCAGAGTGCAGGCACTGTACGTCCCATCTCCAGGACTCAGGTCCGGCCTGCCGGTTTCCCTGAATCCCTTCATAAATGTTACTTTGCTCACACTCCAACAGCACGTCAAGTATTAAAAACCACTTGTCTCCATTCACTCCTATCAAACACGCTCACACATGCCTGCTGGAAGTCCAAGCCCCTCGCACACAAAACATCCTTTACCCCCTCCCTCCAACCTTTCCTAGGCCGACCCCTAACCCGCCTTCCTTCCACTACAGACTGATACACTTTTGAAGTCATTCTGTTTCGCTCCATTCTCTCTACATGTCCGAACCACCTCAACAACCCTTCCTCAGCCCTCTGGACAACAGTTTTGGTAATCCCGCACCACCTCCTAACTTCCAAACTACGAATTCTCTGCATTATATTCACACCACACATTGCCCTTAGACAGGACATCTCCACTGCCTCCAGCCTTCTCCTTGCTGCAACATTCATCACCCATGCTTTACACCCATATAAGAGCGTTGGTAAAACTATACTCTCATACATTCCCCTCTTTGCCTCCAAGGACAAAGTTCTTTGTCTCCAGACTCCTAAGTGCACCGCTCACCCCTTTTCCCCTCATCAATTCTGTGATTCACCTCATCTTTCATAGACCCATCCGCTGACATGTCCACTCCCAAATATCTGAATACATTCACCTCCTCCATACTCTCTCCCTTCAATCTGATATCCAGCTTTCATCACCTAATCTTTTTGTTATCCTCATAACCTTACTTTTTCGTGTATTCACTTTTAATTTTCTTCTTTTGCATACCCTACCAAATTCATCCACCAACCTCTGCAACTTCTCTTCAGAATCTCCCCAAGAGCAGTGTCATCAGCAAAGAGCAAAATGTGACCCAAATCCCACTTTGTGTGATTCTTTATCTTTTAACTCCACGCCTCTTGCCAAGACCCTCGCATTTACTTCTCTTACAACCCCATCAATAAATATATTAAACAACCACTGTGACATCACACATCCTTGTCTAAGGCCTACTTTTACTGGGAAATAATCTCCCTCTTTCCTACATACTCTAACTTGAGCCTCGCTATCCTCGTAAAAACTCTTCACTGCTTTTAGTAACCTACCTCCTACACCATACACCTGCAACATCTGCCACATTGCCCCCCTATCCACCCTGTCATATGCCTTTTCCAAATCTATAAATGCCACAAAAACCTCTTTAGCCTTATCTAAATACTGTTCACGTATGTTTCACTGTAAACACCTGGTCCACACACCCCCTACCTTTCCTGAAGCCTCCTTGTTCATCTGCTATCCTATTCTCCGTCTTACTTTTAATTCTTTCAATAATAACTGTACCATTCACTTTACCAGGTATACTCAACAGACTTTTCTTTCTTTCTTTCAACACACCGGCCGTATCCCACCGAAGCGGGTTAGCCCAAAAGGAAAAACGAAAGTTTCTCCTTTTACATTTAGTAATATATACAGGAGAAGGGGTTACTAGCCCCTTGCCCCCGGCATTTTAGTCTCCTCTTACAACACGCATGGCTTACGTAGGAAGAATTCTGTTCCACTTCCCCATGGAGATAAGAGGAAATAAACAAAGGACAAGAACCAGTAAGAAAATCCAGAGGGATGTGTATATATATGCTTGTACGTGTATGTGTAGTGTGACCTAAGTGTAAGTAGAAGTAGCATGACGTACCTGAAATCTTGCATGTTTGAGACAGAAAAACTGACATCAGCAATCCTACCATCATGTTAAACAATTACAGGCTTTCGTTTTACACTCACTTGGCAGGACGGTAGCACCTCCCTGGGCGGTTGCTGTCTACCAACCTACTACCTATGACTCAACAGACTTATCCCCCTATAATTTTTGCACACTCTTTTGTACCCTTTGCCTTTATACAAAGAAACTATGCATGCTCTCTGCCATTCCCTAGGTACCTTACCCTGTTCCATACATTCATTAAATAATTGCACCAACCACTCCAAAACTATATCCCCCACTTGCTTTTAACATTTCTATCTTTATCCCATTGTTTAAACAGTGATTGTGTAAGTAAGGTGAAAGTGTTGAATGATGAAAGTATTTTCTTCTTGGGTCACCCTGCCTCGGTGGGAGATGGCCGACTTGTTAAAAAAAAAAAGAAAAAAAAAAACATACAGTAGAATCCCTGTATCCAGAATCGATTTCCTCAGTTTACCATGTCCCGAAAATAAGCCTTAATTTTACTTAATAATGGCCACAACGCACAAAAGTAGTGATACTGACAGTTCTTCAAAACTTAAGAGAAGCAGTGAAGTGCTTCCATTTAGTGCATAATTTATCAATGAAACTTTGTCATAGGTATGTAAATGCAAAACAACTTGTATATAGGGTTCACTGCTATTCAGTTTCAGGTATCCATGTTAGGTCTCGAGACGTATCACCCACGAATGTGGGGGGACTACTGTACTTTACATGCATTATTTATTCATAGTTAATTAACAGTATGAAAATTTTCAGATACAAGTGACTCACACTCAATATCCTCGTACCTACACTGTCTCTGGTGTTGCTGACCTTGGGGCAGATCGTCAGAAATTTCCCCTGGATAAAGGTCAAGGTAGAACTGTTCAGTGTACAGTGGAGAATTATTTTTTTGAGACATACAGGAAAAAGCTGAAGTACCCAAGGATAAACTGTCTGAATGTTGGACCAGCAAACAGAAACATCTACCTGCCAATTGAGGTGAGTTTTGTGACAGTGTTGTATTTTTGTTTTTCTTTGTCATTCCTGGTGTAATGCATATGATTACAGTATGACAGGGATCAAAAGTTTATGATCCTTTTCATATTTGGAGCAATGTATTATTAAATTAAAAAAAATTGTTCTGACCGTGAGCACTATTGACATTAACGAACTAAGGGCTTAGCAATACACCATCCAGAATTAAGGAAGCGAATGCTTTACGGCACAAAACCATAAGTGTATTCTCTTGGTAAGGTGTGAGTATACAGGTCTGCTGTTACAAATCCGGCAATCAGTCGTCCGGTTCCATCAGTTATTCGGCACTAATTTCACCTAGCATAATTTCAAATTTCCAGAGTTGCCACATTAACCTTCTGCTACTGTTTGGTGGCACTACTTGCTGCATAAGTCATTCCAATTTCTTTTCCTCCATTTATTGTTATAACCTGCTTACTTTTAGCCCTACCCATGGTTCCAACGAATAAAAGAAATGCTTCTTGTTGTGTAAAGCACATCCACAGTACATTGTCCATAAAAGATGAGGTGGCTTTGAAGCCACTGTCAGTTGCCATGAGCTCAGTCTCGTGATGCAGGGGAATATGCTCTATTATGCTAATATCAACACTACTGCTTATTTACCTGTCACTGTTGATCTAATATGACATAATAAACAATATAAATAAACATTAAAACATGTTAAGTACTCCAGAATGAATAATATTTGGCATAATACCGAGCGGTTCGATGGAGGTATGAAGAGGATGTGGGATAAAAGTATAGTGGACCCTTGGTTTTTCTTCAATCTTGGTTATCTGTTATTTCTGTTCTTGCTGCTGAACAGCGGTTTAGTACCGATGAAGGTAGCGTAGGTAGCAATGATACGACCGTGGACTACGTTGGATTTAATTGGATTGGAGTGAGTACACAACGGGCAGTGTGAGGGAATGACCGCAAGCCAGTCCGTGGAGGGGGGAGCACTTGTGCCTATCAGGTCGGTCGGCCTAGGAGTGAGAGTGAATGGGCTCAGCCTCCCACTGACCTGGGTGAGCCTACAGAGGGCAGCACCTAAATGCCGCGAAATATGAACTAGTCAGAACAGACAGCTAGGCTGTGTGTTCTGACAGTACAGGCTGTCTACATTTGCTCGGCCACTCGCCTCGCGTCGTCCCGACGCGACAATACTGGTGGGCCCGTAGGTATAAAGGAATTACTTACACTAGCTACCCCAGAGAGGGACTGGCTTTTGCTCACTTGTAAATCAAAAATGGACATAAAAATGCAACAGGCAAAAAAAAAAAAAACTCCCATCCAGGGGAAGAGAAAACTGGTTTGCCCGTGCTGTTTCATTGAGGAGAGAGTCCGGAGACGTCAGCACTGGAACTAAAATCTTCTATATACAGGTTGTCCGCAGGGCTGAACATCAGTTGACCACTCGTCAACGAACGTTGTTGCACCCTCACTTCTGCAAACAATGACTGACAGTAGCATTTCCTAAGGTGTGACATGTGACTCAGAGGGCAGCACTGCCCTGACCGTAATACAGGCTTTTTATAAAAACACTGGGTTCACATACCTACAATAATACTATATCCATGGAATTCATTATACTCTGGGTACCCTTCTAAAAGTATTTACATAATTACATGTTGTTGTCCACCCTGACTCCATTATCAACTAGCTATACAATGTGTGCGCATTTATGCCCATTTCTGCAAGCAAACAATTAGCATAACTAGCGCAGGAGTCAGACAAGTCAGTAGGTACGTCAATGTCACAGAAATGTACTGTTGTCCTGGGTCGCAGGTATAAGTATGGAGCCTTACTGGGCCGTCTTCAGTAACAGTAGTAGTGGGAGAAGGGGTAGACGGGTTGTCCCTAGCATTGGTCTGATTGTGGCGTTGCAACGCACATGACTCCAGCTCTGCTTCGGCCTGCACATGGTCCACATACTTCATGTGATCAAGGTGGGCTTCCTTGATAGTTCCAGTAGCGATCTTCCTCACCTCGAACTTATTGCCACGGAGCTGTCGGAGGACACGGTAAGGACCCACGAATTTTGGGACAAGTTTGTGCATACCTGGGGTCTGCGCTGGGTTGAGCAACATAACTTTGCAACCTGGTTCCACTTTGCTTTCCTTGGCGCAGGGATTGCGCTCAGACATGAACCTATCAGTAGCTTTCATAAAGTTCTCTCGTACCCGCTGGAAGACAAGCTGCGTTGTCTGCATCTTTACTACACTGGGGTTATCAGTATCATAAGTAGGTCGAGGTGGAGCAAACAGAATTTCGTATGGTAAACGCTTGTCATAGCCATACAAAGCAAAATGAGGTCTCTCACCGATCGAGCAAGACCATTACTCGCAGGGTGGCGTGGAGCTACTGGAGCTTGGTGAATGCTAAATCTGGAGCAAAGATCCTGCATTATGGTATTTATGAACTCAGACCCATTGTCTGACAGAAGGACACGTGGGCAGGTATGATGGAGGACAGCATGCTCACGGAAAGCACTAGCGACCGTTTCGGTGGTTTTATCAGGAATGGGTACTAATTCACTGTACCGTGTCAAGTTACCTACCATTACAAGCAGGTGCTTATTTCCCTTCTCCGAGGTCGAGAAGTTCGTCAACAGGTCGACAGAAGTTCTCTCCCTTTGTAATGGGATGCTTTAGAATGGGGTTAGGACCTGTAATGGTACCCTTGTGCTGTAGGCAAACAACACACTGGTGTACATGCTTGGCAATGTCCGCTGCCATCTTAGGCCAGAAATATTTCATTCGTGCCTGTTTGATACTGCGGTCCTTCCCTGAGTGCGCTACACCTGGGACATCGTGGTTCAACCTAAGAGTAGTTGGTATCATGGACTCCGGTATCACCAGTTGGTGTATGGTTTCGGTTTTGGCCGACTTTTTTCGTCAATTTTTGGCTTTAGTTTTCATTGATTACCTCCGTTTTCGTCGATCGTATGGAACCTGCTCAGTCCCCACTGCGCAGACAAAGCCGCCACCCACATGCATTCTCAGCCAGTGTAGCATTGTTTCTCGGTCAGTGAACATATCCTGCCAGGTCATACAAAACATTTCATAATCCATTGTTTTTGCCACTTGTTTATCGTGTGTGACTACTAAATAAGAGACCATGGCCCCAAAGAAAGCTCCTAGTGCCAGTGCTTTGGTAAAGAAAGTGAGGAACACCGTAGAACTGAAAAAAGAAATCCTAAGAAAATGATAATGGCATATGCATTGCTGAACTTGGCAGAATATACAAGAAGTTGCCATCAACAATCAGCTCCATTGTGACAGAGAAAAGAAATCATGGAAGCTGATGTTGCAAAAGGGGTGAATGCAATAACCAAACAGATCCCAAACAATTGAAGAAGTGGAGAAATTGTGGTTGGTGTGGATCAGAGTGTGTGTTAGCAGGAGATAGTGTTGTGCAGTCCATTATTTGTGAAAAGGCAAGGCAGTTGCATAAGGATCTCCTAAAGAAACTGCCTGAAAAAAGTGTGATGAAAGTGAATTCAAGGCTAGCAAAGGCTGGTTCAAAAATTTCAAGAAGCGAAGTGGCATGAACAGTGTCGTAAGGCACGGTGAGGGTGCCTGCTCAGACAAATAAACTGCTGAAAAATTCATGCGGGAATTCAAATGTTATGTAGAGTCCGAAAAATTCCAACCCCCAACAAGTGTTCATTTGTGACGAAATAGGCCTCTTTTGGAAGAAAATGGCAGAGAGAACCTACATCACACAGGAGGAAAAGGCACTCCCAGGACACAAGCCTATGTTGTGTGGTAATGCTAGTTGGGATTTCAAAGTGAAGACTTCACTGGTGTATCACTCTGAAAATCTCAGTGTGCTCAAGAAAGTGCTGTCAAGAGCAAATTGTGTGTGATGTGGAAGGCAAATGGTAGGGCATGGGTCACAAGGGAAATTTTTCCCGGGAAAGGTTTAAAAGAAGTGTTTTTGGCCCCCGTTGAAAAAATAAATCCCGGATAAGAAAATTTCCATCCAGGGGCCTCCCGTTAATGGAAAAGTCTCCTCCCCATCTTTCCCGACTTGGAAAACCAATTGTCTAAAGGGAAATTTAGTTGAACGGTTTTAAAATTTTTTCCTCCTGGGAAACCAAACCCCCTCCTCTGCCCCTGACCAGCAATAATTGCAAACTTCAAAAAAAATTTACACTTAAAACAATTTTTTCAAAGGGGCCTTTTACATAACCTGGACTTTTGAATTGCCCCAAAGGGGGGAGTTCGGGAAAAATCCCTTCAATATCTTTTCATGCATAGGCCCTTTAGATAAAGGGTTTGGGGAAAAATTGTGTCCAAAAGGAGGGTTTTGAAGGGTTTAGGCTGACCCCTTTTAACCCCGCACTTTTGGCCCAAACAATTGTGGGATTGGGGAATTTTTATGGGGTTTGGGTGTGAAATTTGGAGGATTTGGGAAAAGTTGGGGGTGGACCACAAGGAATAAACTAAACCCCTTTATGGCTGCAAAAGCTTCATCTGCAACAGAAAAGACCACACTGGGGGGAAATTTCTTTAGAGGAGGAGGAAAAAGGGTGGAAGGTTTTCCTTTCTTAAGATTAAGGGATTTGTGCAAAGTGGGCTAAATTCCCTTCATTTGGGGGGGAAAACAACCCTGAAAAGCTTTTTACAATTGTGTGGTGACTTTTCAATGACAGTCCCTGTCTTTTTTAATTTTTCGGGCCGTCCCGTAGATCTAGGGGGTCGGGGAGGTCCAAAGAGATCTACCCCAAAAATTCAGCCCCCGTAAAATTTAGCGGGGAAAGGCCTCATAGGCCCCATGTGAAAAATGGGTCTGCGCCGTGGGTGTAGGGGGTAAAAAAAAAATTGGGGCCCCGATAGATTGGGGGGAAGCCGGCTCAGTCCCCCTTGTTCCATGCCTTCGCAAGTCACTTACTAAAAAAAGGGGACTCTCCTTTCCTGTCTGAAGTTTGACACTGAGGGAAGGGGAAATGAAGACAAATTTGGGCTTTGATATTTTGT